ATTGCATGAGATTGCATTGTAGCGCGTGTTATTGGTGTAACCTTTGTTTTAAGTGTATCTTGTTGTGTTGCGTATAGTCTGTTCTTTGAGTATCTTGTGATTGGTGACGCATTGTATCGGATTATTCTCGAGTGGGAATGTTTGTGTGTTGTGTGTTCTGCCTTAACAGGGAATATATTTTTGTTTTCGTTATCAACCCTCGGGTCTGCCTCACTCTTTTAACCACAGCCAGCGTTCGCTGGCGCACTAAAAGTGACCAATTATAAATTGTCCGTGCTTTTATGCTGCGTTTCGAGGGGCCGAATGAGCCCGAGATTGCCTCCCTATTTTTGGGACCAGTAACAATAGCAATATCTTGTTCCTAGTGCACACTTCAAATACTTAGTGCATGGTTTTTATTGTATGATGCGACTCTAGAAGTTGGAATTCCGTATTGATGCAATATAATTGATAAATTTGAAATTGACTTGCACCAGTGAAGTTTCCGCATATGGCTGCATTCTGCGTAATGGTTAGTACGCTTTAAACCACGAGCAATTATGCACGTGAATTCTTTTCCACTGCCTCTGCACCCAGTACGTGGTCCTAAAGAAATACGCACCGTAACACATGTGCCTGTTGTAAAAGGGGGCCGGCTATAAACGACGATATCGTTATGATGGTCACATGTTCTGACGCCTGATGTTAATTCACGCTAGTACCACGCAGTATTACGGCGATATGACAAGTTTATTGTGAAACCTCTGTACTGGACGCCTGTGTTTGTAAAGCTTGAACGTTACTTTCCCTGCATTTCCAAGCAGATGAAGTTGTTTCAACAGTATTGCCAGGCAGACGCGTGGCTGTGTGGTAGAGCACCTGCTTGCAACTCAGATCGCCTGGCTTCAGTCTTCGTTAGGATCTGGTAATCGTTATTAAGTATCTTATATACGTTAATTAAATCTTGATTTTTCGGCCACACACAAGATGATGATTTTTTGCTTACAGCCAGCGATGCCAGCACCATTACCGGATTTTCCCCGGCACGAGTATTTTAACGCTATTGCGGTGAAAAAATACCCCGTGAGTCAAGATATTATGTATGAAAGGGATTACTAGGCATGACACGGATTTTGAGAAAGATATAGGGGCGAAAAATGGGCTGCAGGCGAACACAACATTGTAGCCGACTTGGATCTCGTAAGAGAGAGGTGCGGTTTTAAAGGCAGAGAAGGTTACACCGAATTCCAATAGCTCGAGAAAAAAAAACTCGTAACAAGAAAAGGAACTCACAAAACATAATATGGTCGCGATTATAGACATCACCAGTATGCAGTGTGCACGCTCGCAAGCACACACAAAACAGGCAAGGAAGGAGATTGGGGCGGAGCACAGCGTCAGGCAGTGGCACCCCCAACAAACACAGATAAGGAACGGAGTTCGGTGCCGTCACCACTTGCATGAAGAAGAGACCGAAAGTTTTTTGCTGTTCGTTTGTCGTGGGGGGCCTCTCGGGAACAAGTACAAGCGGTCCCCGATCGCTCTCCCCAACGGAGCTCGTCATTCGTTCCCTCTCCAATTGGCACAGCTTCCGGAGATAATGGCAAATAGCGGAAGAGAGGGCCAATTTAATTCTCCAGCCCCCTGGGGGGTAGCAAGTGACATCGACATTGCGTTCGGATGCAAGCGTGTCGGGCCCGAAGCGGCCTTTGCTGTTGCCGCGGACGCTGATGTAGCCGTTGCCAAGTTGCACCCCATTTGCCGCTGCGTCGTATTTATACGTAAACGAGTTTTTCGACAGGTGTGCCTTGCTTCCTGATTATCATTGAGTATTGCTTTGTTTTCCCTCCGCAAGTCCGCAAGCGCCCGACCTTTTTTTTTTTTTTCGCGGAGTTAGCTGGTCTGAATGCTTGTTCTACCAGGAAGCAGCTCTGCGTCGTCTTACATTATAGTCGCGTGTTTGTTGCTGCTCTGCTTCTTTTCAGTCAACTGATTTCGAAGCCTGCCCACGCAAGAGGCAACGTGTGAGTGAGGAGTTAAAGGGTGACGTATGGTGACATAAGGACTGGCCATTATATGATGACAGGAACTTAACACATACCGTGATGGGAACGTCTTGACGGGTATACTTTTTCTGTTATTCGAGTACAATTCGTTGCAAGCACAATTGAGCGTTGCGAGCGCAATTGCGAAAATAAATTTGAAGCCATTTATAACATTTCTTTCATTATAAATTCTCGCTCTTAAGCTTAGTGGCATCTACTGAATAAATTGAAGAGCTTATTTATAACAAGAGTGGTAATGATAGATTGCGGGTCACATTATAATTCAGCAGTTCCGTTTTATACATGTCGCATTGCCGTAAGTTTTTGGGGTACGCTCGCTTACGAGCTAAAAAGAATCCTAATTTTTTTCATATTACAGATTTCTTTTTATTTAAAAGTAGTTGAATAGGCCCAACTGACCTTAATAACTCCTCTCCTAAATGTTTTTAACTGGTTATTTACAGAGCTACTTAAGTCAACTTGCCCTGCAAGTTGATGTTTCGTTCATTGAACACCATTCATAATCTTTCGTATACGATCACCAAGATGCCCAGTTAGCGCATTCATGTTGTCTCTCAAATATAAGTGAGTGAGCGTATGTGCGCGCGAAGAAAGGTTTCGTTTTAAAGAACTGTTTGTGTTCTCATATCTTTACGCTTGAGTATTCTTGGTAACTTTTTCTTCTGACTGTCTCTTTTGACACTGTACGCTGATCTGGAATTTCGCACATCTTGAGGGGGCTCTGTTGTTTTCTTTTGCTATTTTTGTGCTTCTCTGAGAACTTGAAGCAAGTGTATCAGTGATAATTGAAATAAAGTTCCTTCGGTTCCTGTCTTGGTTATTTAGTGCGGTAAAGAATATTTTTTTTAAAATTGGTAGATTCCACGTATAGTGGGAATCGATGATATGCGAAGCACGAATGAACAATGTTGATATGTCACTTTAAAATCAGCACAACGTTACGAGGTGGCGGTAAATGATGCCATACATGTCTTCCGTGTCATGATTATCATGTTTGGATGTGTCGTTTACCTTCCTCATCTATTCACGTCACGTGATACCAAATTTAGTATATCTGGAGCTAGTTAAATAGCCGTGAGCACGCTATAAGCGGGGTATGTTGTCATGTTCTTACATGAAGCACGTGTCACGATCTTCATGTTTGCACCACTCATATATTTCGTCATCCATTGACGGCACTTAGCACCAAATTTGGTATATGCGGAGCTAGCAAAATGGCCGCGAACGAATTATGAAGGGCCCAATATACTCCAATATAGCGTTGACGCGCGCGCACGCTGGGCACAGTGACCCTACGTTACCAAAATGTGAGCACTCTATAGTCAGACGCCAGGCGCGACCAGCGTCAGTCGACGCGGCCCGACGGCAAGTGGCGCGAAATGCGACATGCTGCATTTCGCGCCGATGCGTTACCCAGACAACACTGCGTCTCCCTTTTTACGTGACGGAAGGATGCCGGACGCACTGAATGGCGCTAGCGTCAAAGCAACGCTGCGCGGCGCGCGCCTGATTGCATATGGCAGGAACGGCGCCTGGCGTGGCAACGCCGGCATGACGCGACGAAGTGAACGCCGGTGAGCGCGCGCACCGCGTCACGTCGAAATGTATTGGTGCCTTAAGGGTGGTGTGTAGTCATGTTCTCACATGACACGCATCTCATGATTATCACGTTTGCACCAGTCACATACCATCGTCATTCATTGGAGTCACGTAATACCAAATTTGGCATATGCGAAGCTAGCGAAACGGCCGTGAGCGCAACATTAGTGTGGCATGTACTCATGTTGTTACATGACATGCATGTCGTGATTATCATATTTGGATGTGTCATTTACCTATGTCATCCATCGGCGTCGTGTACATGTGACGCTAGCAAAACGGCCGCGAGCACATCGTGAGCGTAGCATCTAGTCATGTTGTTACAGGACACGCATCTCATGATTGTCATATTTGCACCAGTCTCATACCTTCATTCTCCATTCACGTACTGCAATACCGAATTCGGTATATGTGACGCTAGCGAAACGGCCGCGAGCGCATCATGAGCGTGACATGTAGTCATGTTTTTGCATGACACGCATCTGATGATTATCGTGTTTGCAGCAGTCACATAGCTTCATCATCCAATAACGTACTGTAATACCGCATTTGCTATATGTGACGCTAGCGAAACGGCCGCGAGCGCATCATGAGCGTGGCATGTAGTCATGTCGTTACATGACATGCATGTCCTAATTTTCATGTTACGGTCTTTCGCTTGTGTTCGCTATGCAATCATGCCTCACCATACCAGTTTTGCAACACGTCATGTGAACGAAACCACCGCAAGAGCTGCAGGACCATAAAAAGCAAATCATGACATTCATGACATACATATCATGATTTTCGTGTTATGACTAGTCAAATATGTTCTTCATACAGTCATGTTATGCCATACCAAGTTTGATATCGATACCATTATCGAAACGGCCAGGAGAGCTAAAAGTCGTAGGCGGCTAGATAGATAGATAGATAGATAGATAGATAGATAGATAGATAGATAGATAGATAGATAGATAGATAGATAGATAGATAGATAGATAGATAGATAGATAGATAGATAGATAGATAGATAGATAGATAGATAGATAGATAGATAGATAGATAGATAGATAGATAGATAGATAGATAGATAGATAGATAGATAGATAGATAGATAGATAGATAGATAGATAGATACGCCTAAAGTCGCTGAAGGTCGCTAAGAAATGCTTCGCATTTAAAAAAAAGCATGTTTGATCCGTCCGTAATGGAAATTGGTACGACACGAAAGTGCAACGTCTCCTTATAGAAGTAGTTTGATGTTTACAGATCATTGATATGGGAGCCTAGACAATGTATATTGGTGTTTCGTAGCTGAAGCACTTTCTAACGTGAATGGATTGACGTTGACTCTTATGCTGTTTTTCACTGGTAGATTCGGAGCAGGTTTTTTTGCTCCGTGGCGACGAAACCGCATTTCACTGGTAGATTCAGAGTGGATCCGCGCTTTTCACTGGTAGTTTCAGAGCAGCTCGCTCCGAGGCGGATTGCTCGCACTGCTCCGCCGACAAGTCGCAGATTCGGGCGGAAACACGACGAGCAGCATACGTCACTTCCGTCGTTGTACGTTGCTGAGTTTTGCAAAATGGCTGCGTTCGCTGCCTTGGCGGAACTTCTGTCTAGCGACGAAAGCACTTCAAGCAGCAGCTCGTCCAGCTCAGACGACGAAGACTTCGAGGAAAGACAAGCGCTATGCGAAGCCTTCTTTCGGGAAACTTTTTCGGAGTCCCACCGCGAACGTCCCAAAATTTTGGGGTTCATCGAGAACGTTGCGCGGCTGTACACAGACGAGCAGGTAAGCGCGGAGCTCCCTCTTTTCATAATACTACATGAACCTAATTTCATCTTTTTATCATTTCCTTCTCTGCAGTTCCGTCAAGACTTCAGGGTGTCGAGGCGTGTCGCGGAAACGTTGATCCGTGGTTTTGAAGGCTCGCGTCACTACCCATGCAGTGATCGTGGTGGGTCCCCCTCGAAAACCGCGGAAGAGCACATTCTGGTCTTTCTGTGGTAAGTCTGCACGCTGTTTTAAAAGTCATGCCTACCAGTGTGTATAATCTTAATGCTTTCAAGTGCTTCGGCGTAGAAGTACGTTTTTTCGTTGCGTGCGCAGAATTTTGACGGGGAGTCCAACCATTATAAATTTTTGTTCGTGTGTTTATGTGCGCGTGTGTAGAGAATATACACATGTGAAATTTAACAATTTCGGCGGCGTTAAATCTCCCTAGTAGCCTTCCCGTGGCTACGCCGCTTGTGCTTTTTGTCCTTGAAAGTTGCTAAGTGTGATGCAATGGAAACCAATGAAATATGACCGCTTGCAACTGCACAGCCAGAGAGAACAGTGTTAAGAGCTTCTACTTTTCTTACGGCTGCTAATTTTGATGCAAATATTTCATGCCTTTATTTCACAAAGCAGGCTTTACTTGATCACTTTCTTCCATAATGTGTGTTTGCTGTGTCAGGTTTGCTGCAAACAAGGCGTGCCTGAGGGACGTTGCTGGACGCTTTGGCATGGCAACTGCGACAGCATTTAGAGTCGTGGAGCGCACGCTCGAATATTTCCTTGATATAGCCGAAGAGGTAATATCATTTCCAGGAGATCTTGATCAGCTGTCAGCGGACTTCGAACAAGTAAGAATTTTAGGTATTTCACTGTTCCATGGCAAACACAACAAATGAGTTGTCTAATTGAAGCTTACTTTAGAGAATAGTCACATAATACATTGATTGTAGCAGGTTAAGCTGCCGTTGGGGCACAGGGGATGTGGTACTAAGTTGCGCTTGAAAGATGGGGTTATTGTCAAGCAGTCTCACTATCAAATGAGAAATGCTAGTGAAACATGTATTGTTCATTTACAGTGCACATAAAAGCAGGGTGTCTGCCAACGTGGAAAAGTCAGGGAATTTCAAAAAAACCAGGCCAGGTCATGAAAACTGACAGCAGTTCTGTGGGACCGTCACAAAAATAAGCATCGCCATTCATCAAAGCTTAAAAAGTCTCTCAGCTGCAACTACAGTGGGCTGCTGGAAGGTGTGTGAAAAAAAAAAAAGGACAGTGCATAACTCTTGCTTCTGAGTGTAAACGCGAAAGGGACCCATAGAACACAAAGTTTACTGACATTTCAGTACCTCATATGGGAGAGAGCCTTGTTTAAAAGTCATGAAAAAGGCACAGTGTACTTCAGTACGCCTAAATACGTGACGTAAGCAGAGAGAGTACATTGTCAGAAGCCTCCCATCACTCCTGTGCAGCGTATGTACAGTTGTCTGTATCTGGATTCGAGAGTTTTACAAGTCTATTTGGTGGTCTGTGATTCCGTGTGTTCAGGGAGGGCAGTCGAGGCCACGCCTCGTTTTGTGGTATCATATTTGTGTTGTTTAACTTTTACCAGTTTCACCGATGTACTGGTCACAATTATGTCAGCCTATGGCATAAACTAGACTAAGGAAATTTCTGCTCGGCAACTTGTCCTTCACATTGGCTAAAGCATTCTTTAACATCCATGTTGGTATATCCACTCTTTTGGTGCCTGTTGCTTCTACATATCACACGGCATATCTGACTCACGTCTGTAGATTTATGCATGTTTTGTCTATGCCACGATTTCGGCCCGGCTTGAAGGCCGTCTGGTTTTTCTAGGCTAGAACTGCTATCAGCTGAAGCTTGCTGGGCTACTCATGTCTTTTAATAATAATAATAATAATAATAATAATAATAATAATAATAATAATAATAATAATAATAATAATAATAATATAATAATAATATTATTATTATTATTATTATTATTATTATTATTATTATTATTATTATTATTATTATTATTATTATTGGTGGTGCAACACCAAACGTCTTCAGCTACACACTTATGCTGGTAGCTCGTGTTTCAAGGGTAGAACTTGGGTAACTTCAGCTAAATTTTTCATTTCAGTTTTGTGAGATTGTGTAAATAAATCTGCAATTATTTTTCAGTGTCACGTCTACAGCAGAGTACGTAAATCAAGGTAACATGCGGACATTCATGATTCATCTATAGAATCAAGGAAACTGTTCCACCTTGACAAATTCATTCTCACCACCACATATTCAAATGTCAGCACTTTAAACGTTGACCCCAGCTTTCATTTCACTTCAAGTATGACAGCCCAGATAAATGCATGTGCTTGTCGTAAAAAAAAAAACATTTTGCAGTATGGCTATGTTCTTGCAACGTTGTCGTTACTCGTTGTCAAGGCAAGATACATAGAATATGCGAGTAGTAGTTATTTACTTTTTTTGTTGAAAAGTATACTTTAGAGGTGTGCAAATTAGGCGGCGGCGCAAATCAATAGTAAATACATCAATCTAGGTCGAATCAGTTCTAATCTAATCTACATATAAATAGGTGAGTCAGTAAATACAGTAGTTCAGGTCGATCTAATTAAATCCAATCCACATCCTAACCGGCGTGGGCTACAGCCATTATAGTAAAATAGATTTTACTCCAGTGGCAGAACCGGCCAGGCTCCTGTGTTTTCATTTTACACGAATGCCACCAAATGGCACCACTTCTAAGTTTCTCAGCAGCTTTGACTGCGATGTCAAACGATCGCAGACACCTTCAAACTTCATCTGCGGTTACTCTTAACTTGTGTGTTTTCTTCCTGGTTCTTCGGAACATCAAACAGCTGACTTGCTCACTGCCTAGCTCAGGGGTTTTATTTTGGCCAGATTTACATGTTTTTTCACAATTGTCGCATGCCCTGAGAACATTTTGAGTGCGTCTGGTAATTATGTTTACCTTTATAGAGCGCCCGGTTTTTTTTTTCTACTCGGGTTTGTTTGCAGTGTACAGTGTTTTCCATGCAAACGTGGCAGTCATGGAATTTGCTTTGAATCATGATGGAAAACCTGGGAAATTCAAGGAATTTAGAAATATGAAATTGGTAGACACCCTGAAAGGGACCCCTGGCACTTAAAATTTCTAATGCCTTTTGCTGTGGTGTTCCGTACAATGATTCCATAGTTCTGGCATGTAAAAGACTTGTGTCACCTAAAGTTAACTCCGCTAAGACCAACAAAACTACTGCATCAAGTGTTAAGATTATTTACTTCAAGAAGTTCACTACAGGTGTGTTCTTTTTCTCTCACTGTCACAGGTGTCAGGAGTGCCCAACACGATCGGTTGCATTGACGGATCCTACATAAGCATCCGCTGCCCTGCAAAAAAAGTGCGTTCAACCTATGTGAACAGGCACAGTTATCCGTCACTGACACTGCAAGCTCTGTGTGATCACAAAAAGAAGTTTCTCGATGTGACTACTGGACACCCCAGCAAGATTCACGATTCGAGAATCTTCAGGACATCGAGGCTTTCTTCAAAGTTGCCGCATGTGTGCTGTTCCGGGAAGTACCACGTTCTCGGGGACGCTGCCTACCCGCTTCGAGATTACCTCATAACCCCATTCAGGAATTATGGTCACCTTGACGCGAGGCAGCGCGCCTTCAATTATCACTTTTCGGCAACGAGAGTGAAGATTGAGAATGCCTTTGGAGACCTCAAGGCCAGGTTCCGCCAGCTGCTGCACCTGGACTTTCTGTTTGTAGACAAAATGAACAAGTTCATTATAGCTTGTTGTGTTTTGCACAATATGTGCATTAATTGTGGTGATGTGGATGTGCCGCCGTACATCGATGATGAACATGCACCGTGGGAATGGGAGGCACAACCGGATGATGTTCACCCCAACAATGGCCCGCTTGCATCAACTGAAGATGCACTGCGTCGCCAAGGCGAGGAGAAGCGTGAGCGCTTAATGCAAGCGATGCGCATTTGATTTAAAGTTAGGACTGCCTACGTGTACACAAAACAAGAAACGTTAAGGTGTTGTAAATTTTGTTTCGTGTTGTAGAGATTTCGAGCAGAAAATAACACTAAAAGACGGGACGAAGCAAGGACACAAACTACGGCGCTGACTAACAAGCAAATTCGTTTTATTCTTCTAATCCGCGTATATATACTTTACCACAATCTCAAGGAAACAAAAAAAAAATAGAATCATGATAAATGCATGCCCCTCATTTCTGAAGCGTATCATTTACAACGGCGGCGAAACATGCATCAGTTTCCCTTATATTTCCCTCTCTCTGAAGGAGTTACCTCTCCTGTCTTATTGAGCATTTCTTTCCTCCTGAGTCAGCCAACATTTGTGTGTGTCTTTTTTTTGCTTTTTCTCACCCTTCAGATTAGTGGTGGAGTGTATATACCTAGACTGGAAGAATAAGACACATTTGGCTGTTAGTCAGTGCCATGGTTGTGTCTCTGCCATGGTTGTGTCCCTGCTTTGTCCCATCCTTTAGCACTGTTTTCTACAGGAAACACTGTACTAACCAGCTAAAATGCATGCCGCACTGTGTTGTAGTGACTCATCTTGCTAGGGCGCAGCCTGATTTTTTTGTTTCTTAGCTTTGTGACACGTAGCAGCTTCCACATAGCGTGAGTCAACCCAAGATGTTTGCAGGAATCTGACTGGATCAGTGTAATTGTTTCCTATGCGAAGCCATCAGCATGCTTATTGCTGACTAGTGCTAACGCCGCAGCGTGTTGGTCGGTATGGCTACTGCAGCTGAAGATAGCTGGTGATATTGATAGTAACTGCACTCTTCGTGCTGGTGAGACACGAGAAAGTGACAAAGTCAACCGGCCAAACATAGCTGGGCTCCAGCTCTCGTCAGCCACCACAAACATTCTGAGAAACATGTAGTGACATTGGCATAAGTCCAAGCTAGTGCAGGCTACACTGAGGAGCATTTGTGTTAATGGAACAATGTCACCAAAATTACGAGCTTGAAATGTTTGTGTTGTTTGTCTTGCAGTTGGGGCACTATGCTTGTCAGTTAAACCTGTCGCTTCGAGGAATATTCGTAATGAACACCCATCCCGACTCATTGTTTCCCACGCATGGTGCCCAAATTCAAAAAGTGCGCTCTGAACGTCACAAAAGCCCGAGTCTACATAGTCTTATGACTCCTGAGATTGTTCGCTGTGTAATTTTTTGTGATTCCAGTAGTAGTTTTACAGTGATGCCAAAATTAGTCACAAGGAGCCATTCTTGCATTAATTACACAGTACATTGCAATATTTATGATCAAAGTTTGGGGACTACCGGACACAATGCTCTTAATTAAAGCATTCAAGTCAAAACAAAAATTTGTCAGGGGTCCTTTAGGCATGGTGACTGCTGCTGTGAGAAATGGCTTCTTTGTCATGCAATTTGGTTATTGCTTGTGCATTAACATTTCATTTGCCTGATGAAAATTTGCATGGACAAACGTTCTGCATTTCTTAGTCTTTGTTCAGCTTTTCTTACCATCAAAACGGCGTGAAATTATAATGATCATTGCAACTTTGTCTTGTAAAAGGGCCCTGGAACCCTTATTTCACCTCAACAACAAACATTGTCAATCTGTTATCAATGCGCCTGCCAACGTGCACATGTGTACAATGCTTACAATAAACATGCTTTTCACATTTTATTCATTTTTCTTCAAGTTGAAAATTTCACGGAGAAGATTCATCTTTTCTTTGTGCATTTCTTCTCGTCGCTGTGTTTTAGCAAGTCGTCGCTCTTCCCTCTTGCTGTCTCTTTCAGCCTTTCGCTCTGCTCGCCGTTCATCTAACTCCTTCATTTTTTCAAAGAAGGTTTGCAGGTGGAGCTCGCGTGCTGAATTCGGGCGTTTTCTTTTTGAATCAGGAGTGTCGTCCTGCCCAACGGAGCTGGATGGAGAGTGTGACGTTGACGAGCTTGAACCAGCAAGTGGAACAGACTCGGTGGATGACTGTGGACATGTCTTTTTTGATACCACTCCACTTGCGTCGCGTACCACTTCTGGTTCCAAGCTGTCGTCCAGCCACTTGATTTTTTCAAGCTCGGCCTCGTAGGGGACTTCTTGTGGGGAACAGCCAGACGTATTATTTTTCCCAGCTGCCACATTTTTTCTTTTCAGTACGGTTTTGTACCGAGAGCAGCACTGCTCACCAGTTCTCATTACACCCAGTTTATTATTAATGTCTGTTGCAATTTTTTCAAACATGGCCTTTTTGTTGCGAAATTTTTTCAGAGGGCCAACTTGAGGGAAATATGAGGCGTAGAGGTCCAGCAGCAGCTTCGTCTCGCCACTCGTCCACTCACACCCTGCAGCTGAAATATGCATTATACACACATAAAATACATATAAACTGGCATTAATAGACTTTTTTGATACAGGGCACGAAGCTATATGCTCTCTGAGCCATAGAACACTTACTGTAAAGCATTAGTACTGTCACACTGTTTTGGCACAGCAAATATTGGGTGCTGTGGGGATCGCTTTGCATATCAGAACAGACAATCATGCAAATTCATAATATTACTATACATAACTTATTCACAGCATAATTTTCTTAGAGAGTAAATTTGAAAACACTGCATAATAAATATGGGGCCTCTTCGTGCAGCTGACTATTCGTTGAATTCAATTTTATTATTTAAGCACCCAATATTGAGAAGCGTGAGCAAGAAGCCATTAAATGGTTTTGCGTAATTCGTGGTTTTTTTGAGAGGGTTTGCAATCTGCTGGACCTATCTTCATCCTAATGCCACTAGCATGTTTGTGTATGCATGCTTACCACGTGCAGGAGTCCCTGGCTGACAAGCCCGACTTGGTGACGCACCAGTAGACGCTGCAGAATCTGTGTTTGATAATTGAAAAGCATTGTAGTATGTTAATATGTGTTAATTTTAAGCAGGTACACAATTTTCTTCAAGTAGTCCTTACACGTTGCTCGTCAAGGCATTGTCCTCTACATATATAGACGACTGTATACAAAACTAGTTCTACAGAGACACATGTAGACCAATTTACCATTTCCTAAAAATGCGCCCTGTGTATGTGACAAAGCGTCGGTGGCGTCACACTGTGTAGCACCTTCAAATAGAGAAAAAGAAAAGACATTTGCGGGTTAACACCAAAAGAGTAGAGGTCAAGAATCACCAAGAAAACGTTACTTCTCTAGTAAATTTTTCATGCATGTATTCATGCGCGAATACAGAGATCGCCATGCATTTTTATTAAAGGTAATACAGCAGCTTGGTGAGCGCTGCGAAAATTCCGGCGCTTGTGATATTCTAAATAGTAGGACTGTAAGGTGTTGGGTAAGCAACTGCTCTGATTAAAAAAAAAAGCCTGCTCACAACATGCCGTATTTTTGCGAGCGCCGATTGCGGCCGTTACCACGTGTACCCGCATGCTTTACAATTATCTGACCAGTCTTCATGCGGAGCTATCAAAGTTAGCATTCCGTGCAGAGTTTATTATCAGCGTCAAGTACGTCGCACTTACCGTTCAGATCGTTGCCGCTGTTTCTGAAAACGCCCAGCAACAGCCGACGCACAGCCGGTGTCAATTCCGCGTGCTCGTCCATACTTGCTACACAACTGCTGTTCGCGACTGCGTTAAAGTGTTCTACAAAGCTTTAACTGCGTGGTCGAAATGCGCGCCCTGCAGTGGCGGCCAAAGTTGCCAAGGAAACGAAGAGAGCGGAAAAATAAACTGTTTCCGGAACCGGTTTGCGTGACGTATGCATAATCAACTTCCGGGGCACCTCTCACGGAGCATTCTCGTGTTTCACTGGCAGAGGTGGCTTCGTGCGATCCGAGTGCTCGCTCCGGGATTTCGGCGGTCGCTCTGAATCTCCCAGTGAAAAACACCATTAGTGTTTCACCTCGATCCTGACCACTAACGTCCGTAACTAAAGATTGAGTAATGACAATAGACACGCCCTTCTGGTCATAGATGCCTGTGCTAGCTCTAGTAACTGGTGAAAGCTCAACGAAAGGATGCACTGGAACAGCCAGAACAGCTTGACTGATTGTACGCCGAGCTTCGGTGTTCTCCTCGCCTACTCGCGGTTCTTTAGACTCATTCAATGCCACTGCCAGATTAGAAGAAAATGAAATGTGCGTTGTGTCTTCTTTGTTGGCTGGGCCCAGTGATGATCTGTGATGGCATGGAAAGGGCGGCCATACAAGAAAGGACGGAATTTCGAAACCGCCCAGACAAGGGCGAGATATTCCCATTCTGTTATAGAGTAATTGCGTTCAGACTTTGAAAGCAGACGGTTTGCATACGCGATTACCTGGTCGTGGCCCCGCTAAATTTGCGCCAAAACTGCATCAATTCCGGGACCACTCGCGTCTGTTCCCACTTCTGAAGGAGCATCGGGGTCGAAATGTGCAACAATAGGAGGTGTCGTTAGAGTGGTGATTAGCTGAGAGAAGGCGTCAGCTTCAAGAGGGCCCCAACGAATTGGGACGTCTTGTATGAGAAGGTCAGTGAGTGGCCGGGCGAGTGCCGCAAAGCTTTTCACTAACCGGTGAAAGTAGGAGCAGAGGACCACGAAACTTCGAACATCATGGACAGAGCGTGGGACGTAAGTTTGTTACAGCGCGTACTTTCGCCGGGTCTGCTTGGAAGAGTAAAACACGAAAGGCTAGGTTTACCACATATTTTCGTCCGCCAAATTAGTTCTTTTTTTTCGCTACACTTTTCTACATATATACGTAGAAAAGTGTATACAGTGTGTCAATCGAGACTGACGCGGGCTTTACCTGTGTATGTCGTTAGTACGAATCACATGACCGGTGCTGTCCTTGGGAATCATAAGCAGGTTTTTCTAAGTGCATGGTGCTTAGCTGTTAAATATTCTAATGAATATTTGTTTTCAGTGATTCGCAAAAGGTCAAGAAAGGGAAAGAAGACAGCCACCCGTTTGTAGCACGAAGCCACAACGAAAAAAAAGGCTCTTAGTTGCCGAAAAATTCGTCCCGGTTCGCGGTT